GGATGCTGCATACCCATAAAAACTACTAAACGACGATTCAGCAAACAGTCAGCCTACGAGCTACCAGCTGTAGGCCGCACAGGGGAATGCCGGACTGCATTAGACGTCAATCCTGAAAGCTATGCATGCCCTTTTGCCACAGCAACTACATGCCCATTAACGGGCTGCTGCTGCTACTTGTTCACCGGCTTATGAATATTTAAAACTAACATTTTCAACTGTCACAGAATCGACGACCATTAGCACACATCTGCACTGTAGTTTACAGCAAAAGCTATCGAGATTTGGCATGTCAGTTTACAAGTGATCACAAAAGCATTGAAATCTGTGCCGTGGTGATTTAAGAAAAGCGATGGCGCAGTTTAAGAAGCGCCACTGGTAGCCAACGCAAACGATCAGTGTGAACAGGAGAGTAACTTTGGCGCAGCATCGGAAAAAATGATGCTTCGGCTTCAAATAAACACCCTGCGAAGGTTCAGCAAGTGAACATGACACTGAACAAAGCTATCTCGGAAACAGCCTCTTGCAATACCACCATTATTACTACCGAAGGAAAGGTGGGCTCGATCGTTGTGCACGATGGACCACGCCCTACACAGCAACCAATGGCTGCTTGGAAGTCGGGAGCAGAGGGACGCTGGGGCTGTGGTTGCCGCACTCGAGATGGCGTTGCACGAGAACAGGAGAGGTAGCACTCCCGACAAATCGGACCCATTCCCGGGCAGCACCGCCCAGCTGCGGAGAACTACGATGAAGATGCCAAGCAACTTTCTTGCCTTCCCTCTGCTATTGCATACTGTCTCCAAGCAACCGAAGATCGGTCCAGTAGAGGCTGGCTTAGCCATTACACACCGATTCCCACTCAATTACGCTACAATTTTTTTGTTCACCCAATAAACAAGAGAAGCCGCTTCATTCCCGACATGTGCACTGCCAACAAATGGTCAGCTAATTAACACTGAATTGGTCAGGCACGTTCTGGGGCGGACCAGTGTCTGGCAAATAAGCATGCATTATGCTACAAGGAAAACCGACGCGAGCCCTCCTCACACATGCAGTACAGTACAAAAGGATGTAAAAGAACGGTAAATTAGAAATTATTGGCGACGCGCGCATCGGAACGGCCCGTGCGATTATTCGTTTTTGCAGCATTCCGTGCTGCTCTAAGATGGTTTAGAGTCCCAGCAGCTAAAATTTATGGCGTACTCGTGCTCGAAGTTCAGGAAACTGTGCAACTGCACGGTACTTGGTAAGGGGACATACCCTCAAAATTTCAGCTTTCTATCTTTTCGGGTCCTCGAGATATCAATTTTCTCGCTAAAAGCTTTCATGGAGCTGTACGTGAGAGCTACGTATATATGAGGCGAAATTTAAAACATTTAAGTTGTACATGAACTAGAGACATCCCCTTAAAACTTCAGCCAGCCTCCCAACTTTCCTGGTCCCTGAGTTAGAGATTTTTCCGCCAAAAACGTGGTTCTACGTACAGGGGCTCTTCCAGTCAATAATCCTGCTCCCTCTTCTTCACAACTTGCAAAACCTAGTGCACACCCTCCCCCCTCCCTTTTCCCTAGCCAACCCTAACAAGCCGAGTTTTACTGGTCGCTCTGATAAGCGGCTAGAAATGACTGCTGAATTTGATACTCAATGTGGACGGGGAGCATAATCGCAAAATTTAAGCTTTCTAGCTTTTATGGTTCCCGAATTAGCGATTTTCCTGGCAAAACTCTCACGCACTCGTGCGCGAGGAGGCGTGCGTGAAGGTTGGTACCGCGGTCCCGGGGCGGCACTTGGCCTGGAAACCCGCTGACAAAATTTTGTCGCCGGCACTTGCTTGGTTGCCGAGTTGAAATACCCGGACAGAAACATGCACGCTCGCGCACGCACAAACATACACACGCACTGGGGTCGTCGCAATATGCGTTTTTATGCGTTTTTGCATATATGTAAATTGCAAAAATTATGCGTTTTTGCATATATGTAAATTG